TAGAAAGATACGCACACATATATATGCAACTATACATATACCCCCATATATGCATATATATATATATATGAATATGTATATATATATATATATATACATATAATATTTATATACATATATATATATATATACATATGTATATATATACAGATCTGCATATGTTTACCTGTATCTCTATCTATCTACACACACGCATATATATATATATATATGTACAGAATTTGTGTATATACATATATATATATATATTATATATATTATATATATATATATATTATATATATTATATATATGTATATATAACAACAGAAGGCAGGCTGAACATCATGATGAAGATTGCTGAGTAAAATTGTTTTTATTTGTTTTGTTATCTAAGTAAATAAATAAATAAATAAGTAGATAAATAAATAAATAAATAAATTTAATATCGATAAACAGCAGCAAAGATTATAATTATAATAATATTAAACTTACTTCTTCGCTGTCGCTCGTAGTTAAGGTTTGTTATCCCCGTATAAAATATATAATAACATAGTAATATAATAATTATATTATAATATTATAAATCAAATAATAATAATAATACTAAAATATATATTAATATTACTTTTGTACGTTATTGCGGTGTACGTACACCTCAAGTGAGCTCGCATGCATATAAAAGCATTAAAAAGTTTAAATAAAAGAAATACAAATAAATAAAATAAAAAATATGAACATAAAACAATTAATTAATACATTTATATATTATTTATTTATATATTTATATCTTTATTTATTTATTTATTTATATCTTCTGTCTGTACAGACTGCAGCAGCAGCTCGCCGGCGTCGGCTGCGCTTGGGGTGTCTATGCAAAAAAGTTTTTAATTAAAAGTATGAAAATAAATTTAAAAATAAAATAAAATAAATTAAATAAATAAAATAAATTAAAATAAATTAAATAAATTAAAATAAATTAATTATATTCAAACAACTACGCAGAAACAAACAGAGGCGTCTCTCTGTTGCGTCTGTCTCACAGGGGCTGCAGCAGATTAAATAAGTTTGTTAATATATTATTATTAAAATATATACATTTAATTTTGTTTTTATTTTCTTTTTATCTACATATAAATATATATATAATTATATATATATTTATATATATTTATATATATATATTTATTTAAGACATGAGTTTATCAAAGAATAAAGAAATAGGATTTTGTTAATATTTTTTTTATTTGATTATCTTTTAAAACAAAGCACAAGAAGAATATATATATGAATAAGATGCAGTATATTTTATTGATGTTGTTGATATATATAAAAGCAGCAGCAGCAGAGCCTTTCTGTACATACAACTTGAATAGAACAGCAGCAGCAACAACAGCAGCAAACTGCGGATATGTTTGTTCAGATCCTTGGGGTGCAGCAAATCCTCATTACTGCGGCTCATCACCTCATCCTTGCTGCTGCAGCCCTTCCTGCAGCGCAGCAGCAGCAGCAGCAAGAGCATTTATAGGTATTAATTGGTCGGATAGATATTCAAGGCTGCATATATCTCGACGTATATTATTTAAAAGATTAAAAGCAAACGGATTTAAACATATTAAAATATTTTCTCCTGACGGTTTATCAATTATTAAAAAGATATATAATAATAATGTTAATGTTTATGTAGGGCTGCCGAATCGTCTGCTGCATGCATTATCAGCATCGCAGCTAAAGGCTTATTTACTGATAAAACAACAGATACTACCGTTTAAAGATATTGTTAAATTAATTATCGTCGCAAATGAGCCGCTAATATGTATTAAAACAGCAGACTGGGGTAAGAGAGGCGAGTGCAGCTCTCTTAACTCTCCTTCCAAGCTATTACCTGCATTATATAATATTAAACAAGCTTTAAAAGAGTTAAATCTAGAATATATACCTGTGTCTACAGCTCTTAACGGAGGGATATTAGAGATGTCTCAGAACCCTTGGACGCCCTGTGCAGCAGATTATAAACCGCAGCTGCTGCCTCTGCTGCAGCAGCTCTGGAGCTTCTTGCTGCAGCAGACTCCTCCTGCACCTTTTATTGTTAATATATACTCGTGGTTTGCTGCTATGGGTGGACATATATCTATTCCTGCTGCTGTTGGTGCTGCACCAGCACCTTCTGCTGCTGCTGTAGCAGAAGCAGCAGCAGCAGCAGCAACTACTGCAGCAGCAGCAGCTGCTGCTGCTGCTGTTGATGCTGTAACTGGGAATGATAAAAAGACAGAAGCAACAGCAGAAGCAGCAGCAGCAAAGGACAATGCTTCTTCTTACTCTTCTTTCTCAGCAACAGCAGCAGCAACAGCAGCAGCAACAGCAACAGCAACAGCAGCAGCAACAGCAGCAGCACGAGCAGCAGGTGCAGCAGCAGGAGCAGCAGGAGGATATGAAGCAGCAGCGCATGACGGAGTTCACCGATATCTATTTAATATGGACATGCAAATAGATATGCACAGAATTGCGCTATGCAAACATAATATGACGAACTTAGACATCTGGATCGGAGAGACAGGCTGGCCGACAGCAGGAGGTTTAAAAGCAGCAGCAAGAAACGCAGAGATATATTTCTTTAATGCAGCAAGAAGAGCAGCAGGATTAGATCTATTGCCTGCAGCAGAACTTACATCTACTACCATTGAAGCAGCAGCTAAAGTTGCAGCAAGTGCTGCAGCAAATGCTGCAGCAAGTGCTGCAGCAAGTGCTGCAGCAAATGCTGCTGCTGCTCAACATGCATATCCATCTCATCAACTGGGTGTAAAAGCAGCAGATATTGCAGCCAAAGCAGCAGCACAAGCTGCTGAAGCAGCAACAGCAGCAGGAGTAGCAGCAGCAGCAGAAGCAGCAGCAGCAGATAATATACGCCTTCCTTATATACCCTATCCCCTCTTCTTATTTGAAGCCTTCGACGAACAATTAAAGTTTGAGATTGAGCACGGCAACCAATATGAGAACCACTTCGGCCTCTTCACAGAAGAAGCAGCTCCTAAGTTCTTTCTTAAGAAGAAGAAGAAGCAGCAGCAGCAGCAGCAGCAGCAGCAGCAGCAGCAGCAGCAGCAGCAGCAGCAGCAGCAGGAGCAGCAGGAAAAGAATATTTATTATTACTCTAATTCTAATTCTATTTATCATCATCACACAATCTTTAATAGTAAAGATCATCCTCCTTTTTCATATAATACACTTGCTGAGGTGTACAGGCAGCTCAATAAACAAACAAAAAATAATGCTGCTGCTTTTCTGCAAGCAGCACAACCTATGAGTTCTGCTGCTGCTGCAGCAGCAGCTGCTGCAGCTGCTGCAGCTGCTGCAGCAACTGCAGACATTGCAGAACAAATCAGCAATGCAACAACAGCAGCAGAAGCAGCAGCAGCAGCAGCAGCAGAAGCAGCAGCAGCAGAAGCAGCAGCAGCAGCAGCAGAAGAAGAAGTAGAAGAAGAAGAAGAAGAAGACAGAACTATGCTTATCTTTTCTCATTCTCTTCTTCTTAGCTCCCCGGACGTACAGCAGCTAACGGAGCTGCAGAAGCAGCATAAAAGCAGAGAGTTGCTGCTGCAGCTGCATCAGCAGCAACAAAAAAAACAAAAGCAGCAGCAAGAGCAGCAGCAGAAGCAGCAGCAGAAACAGAAACAGCAGCAAAAGCAAAAACAACGACAGAAAAAACAGCAGCAGCCAGAGCAGCAGCAAAAGCAACAGCAAAAGCAGCAGCAAGAGCAGAAGCAAGAGCAGCAGCAGGAGCAGCAGCAAAAGCAGCAGCAAAACCAACGCCCTAGAGAAGGACACCCACAACCTTCAACAGAACACAACAGCAAACAGCAGCAGCAACGCGCAGCAGCAGAAGCAGAAGCAGCAGCAGCAACAGCAGCAGAAGAGCCAGCAGCGGCGGCAGAAGCAGCAGAAGCAGCAGCAAAAGCAGCAAAACATTTTGCTTCTGACAATGAAGAGAAAGCTGCATAGAAAGGCAGTGATGGAGACAGCAGCAGCAGCAGCAGCAACGATAGCAGCAGCAGCAACATCTACAGCAGCAGCAGACAGGAAGTTGCTGCTGCTGCTGTAGCTCACGGCAGAGAGCGCCAGTGCGCGTCTCCCCTGCTGCTGCAGCTGCTGCAGCTGTTCCTCCTGCTGTAGCAGCAGCTGCTGCTGGTGCTGCTGCTGCAGCTGCTGCAGCTGTTTCTCCTGTTCTAGCAGCAGCTGCTGCAGCACGGTATATGTATGTCTGCTGCTGCTGCTGTTTGGCGCTAAGGCTTAGCAAAAATAAATCTTAAAATTAAAACAAAACATAAAAAATTTATTTTTTATTCTGTCTTTTCATACGCATCAACGCTGCAGCAGCAGCAGCAGCAGCAGCAGCAGAACCAGCAGCACTTTCTGCGTTGTAGCTAGCTATCACAGCTAGCTACAGCCAGCTAGCTGCAGCTAGCTGGCTAGAGGCAGCTAGCTAGAGGCAGCTAGCTACACGTAGCTAGCTACAGCTAGCTAGCCAGAGATAGGTAGATTGAAAGCGGAGGCAGAATGATAAATACTTTTAAAGAGACAATTAAAATATTTAAATGCATCGGCACGTCGAGGTAAACATACACCGGAAACTCCTGCTGCTGCTGCTGCTGCTGCTGCTGCTGCTGCTGCAGCACCTCCTGCTCCTGCTGCTCCTACTGCAGCTGCTCCTGCTGCTGCAGCAACTCCTGCTGCTTCTGCTGCTGCTGCTGCTGCAGCTGTTCCTGCTGCAGGAGGTGCAGCAGCAGCAGGTAGAGCGGCAGCTCTTTAGCAGGAGCATCAGCAACAGCATCAGGATTCGTTTGAGTTGAAGGTATTGCTGCTTAGAGAGCAGCAAGAGGAAGAGAGAGCTTTGCTGATTTGCTGCTGCTCAGCAGCAGCAGCAGCCTCTCTAAACCAACGCCGACACCGCAGCAAGGAGGTAAGCCGAAAGCAAGAGAAAATATAAAACTCTGCAGCAAACTCAGTCAAATTAATTTAATATAATATAATATAATTTAATTTAATCTAATTAATATAACTAAAATAGTTTAATTAATTATATTTAAGTCGTTAGATTTAATTACGTAATAGTTTGCTGCTTTGTTCTAATTTTATTACTTATTTATTTTTTATTCAATTTGTTTATTTAATTTATTTAATTTATTTATTTGTCTAATTTACCCAGTAGTTTATTAATTAATTAATTAATTAATTAATTTATTTATTTATTTATTTATTTATTAATTTATTAATTTATTTATTTTATTTATTTATTTATTTATTTATTTTATTTATTTTATTTATTTTATTTAATTTATTTAATTTATTTATTTATTTATTTGCTTTTGTTTGTTTCTTGCATTTGTTTGCGTGAGGAAGCTGTCTCATCTTATTTATATTTATTTATTTTATATTTATTTATTTATTTATACTTGTTTATATATTTTATGTTTATGTATGTATATTATATATATATATAAATTATATATGTGTAGTTGTATATTTATTAGTTTATATTTTTCTGTTTGCTTTGTTATAAGTGCTGCAGCAATAAAAATAAATAATAAAATAAATAATAAAATAAATAATAAAATAAATAATAAAATAAATAATAAAATAAATAATAAATTATATATATATGTCTCTCCGTGTCTGCCTGTCTGTTTTATATCGTTGTAATTATATATTTATAATTATATATTCATAATTATATATTTATAATTATATATTTATAATTATAATTCTCTCTCTTTGTTCTTCTCTCTGTCTCTGTCTGCTTCTTTACTTTGTGTTTAATATACGTATA